TCGAGCCCCGCGTCGAGCTCTGTGCTGACAGCTCAGAGCCTGGAGCCTGCTTCGGATTCTGCGTGTCCCTCTCTCTCTGCCCCTCCCCTGCTTGCACTCTGTCTCTGTCTCTCAAAAATAAATTAAAAAACAGAAAGAAAGAAAGAAAGAAAGAAAGAAAGAAAGAAAGAAAGAAAGAAAGAAAGAAAAAAGAGATTGTGATCATAGAATCTTGTTTAATATTGGAATGCTTTACACATACACCTCGCTTTTATGTTCCTTAATTTTCTGACTTGTGCTGGTCTTGTTAGTTTTTGCAGATGAAGTTTGGAATTATTTTATCATTTTGCTTTAAAAAAAACCCACACACAGTGGACTTTTGATCTACTGCCTGGTGCTATGAAGTCACTTAGGGCAGTCCACTCACCTTAGGAGAAGCTCTCTGGGTGTTTGCCTTCTTCCTTGCCTCTCGGGGGATTCGTCCTTCCTTTCCATCAGGTGGATGGCAGACATTCCTCCCAAATCTTATTCCCCTGGGGCAGTGTCCACTGATTGTTTCTAGTGGTGGTCACCAGGAGGTGGGAGGAACTTCTGGGGAAGGACTGAGATGGTCTCTATGAATTACAAAGGGGGCTTGGTTTCTCACTACAGAAAATGGGAATAAGAAAGCTGGGCCTGGAAGCGTCTCTGTAGAAGGAAGGGAGGAAGGGGCCCTGGGCCAGCCAGCCCCACCTGGGTGCAAACAGATGGAACAAAGGCCAACCCACCCCAGGCGCCCTGGCGCCAGGCCCCCGCGGAATCATAAAGGCACCATCTCCCAGCTAAGGCGGCCACTTGCGACACTTGGCCTGCCTGCCTGCCCTGCCCTGCCCTGCCCGGGAGCTTTGAGGCCACAGAATCGAAACTATTTACCCGCACAATGACTCGGGCAGCAGGAGTCATTGTTAGCACTGATTATTTTATGGAAGAGGGAACAGAAACTTGTAGTGGCACGAGTGCCTGGGGCTTGAACTTAGGGCCTCCGAAGCCACCATACCTCCCCCGCTCCTGGTGGTCGCTCACCGGACACCATCCCTACCCCCACAGTCTTCCCCAGCTCTGGCTGCTGGCTTTGTCAGAAACAACCCCTTCCCTCCGTGAGTTTCCTGGCAGCCAGAGAGAGCGGATTCATGGGGACAAGACGTGTGTGTTTTGTCCCCACCAGAACGCCAACAACTACCAGGGTCGACAAACATTCGGGAGAAGTGAATGAATCCATTCGACAGACATTTGGGAAGCACCTACTGCAGGCCCATTAGAGACAATGGAGACACAAGAGTGACAGACATAGTCCCTGCTCTCTTGGACCTGACATGGCAGGGAGAGGGGATCCACTCCTCTGTTTATTTCTTGCTGGCTGCTTCTGGCACTGGGTGCTCCCAAAATATTGCTTGGCAGTAGGAAGGAAATAAGACCAGGGTAGTAATAGAGAAACAAGGGTGGGCAGGGGGTTCTTTCTGTGGTTCTTCTGGGCTCTGGGTTCTGGTCTTCAGGTCCAGCTCGGGGATGTAGAGTCTAGGCCCTGGGCTCCACGTCCTTGGTGCTACACTCTGGGTTCCGAGCCCCACGCTCTAGGCTGTGAATTTGGGGGGTCCATGCTCAGGTCCCTAGGTCCTGGGCTCCGTGTTCTGGGATCTGGATTCTGAGGTTCAAGTTCTAAGCCACCATCTCAGAGTTCTTGGATGTAAGTTCTGGATTCTGAGCTCCAAGTTCTAAATTCTGGATTTGGGAAGACAGGAGCTGTGCTCTGTTTTGGGTCTGCTTCCTGAGTACTGGGGTACAGAGTTGTGAACTCAAAACTCTGGACTCCCAGATTCTGGTTCTGGATTTGGGGCCAGATAATAGCATTGTTTGCCAGAGGCCAGGTAGAGTCGTTCCTGTGTCAACTGCTCACGGGGAGGAATTCTTGTTTGTTTCATCGGGTGGTGTAGCCCCCGTGCCTAGAACACGGCCAGGTGTGGGCGAAGGGATCAGCAGGCACACATACGTGCTCACTTGAGTATGTGATCATATAGACGCACAATCCCGCCGTCAAGAGCCAGGGCACAGAAGGGCACGACCATCCCTGCCCTCAGTGTGGGTATAATAGCTGATGGGGGAGGGTGGGCCAGAATGCTGTGAGCTGGGGAAGGGCTGAGAAAGCCACTATGGATTCAGATGGGCAGGCAAGTGCACATCCAGCTACACACCAGGTCAGTTCCCGCCTGCTCTAGGTGTCCATTCTACAGGAAAAGGACGTGTGTGGGGTGGTGGCGGCAGAGCAGGAGCAGAGGGCTCCTGAGTCAGAGACCCAGGGATGCTCCTCCCACTCTGTCCTGCGGGGCTGAGGTATCTGGGACTTCACAGGAGGCATGCTGGCCTCCACGGGACTATTGCTTCCCCGGCCCCAAGCAAGCACCCTGCCAGCACCGGCAGTCTGCAATGGGAAGAGTGACAGGAGGGCCTCCTGGCTCACGTAGACATCAGGGCTGCCAGAGAACAAGGAGGTTGGCCATCAGAAAGCCTAATCGTCAAGGACTCAGGGTACCAGAGATGGTGATTAGGGCCAAAAGGAGTCATCCATCAGAGACATATGAATAGAGTAATGTAATTAGAGACAGTGGCGTCATGGGAGATGACATCATTCAAGCACGTGATCAGAGGTGGTGGCTGTACACTGAGGATCAGGAGGTGGTGTTCAGAGGTCTTGGTGATCAGCATGATCGTTGATTGCATATATCATTCGTCATTGTTCTGGGACATGGGGGACTGAGGGTGTGAGCCACAGGAACGTTTGTGAAGGAAGTATCTGGTGCTCATATTCTTGACGACTGAATGCAGAGGGGACATCAGTGATCACATTCAAGGGCTAGAGACATCCAGAGATCCTGGTGGTGGGTGATCTACTGGGGACCAAAGGCAGCAATGGTTAGAGAATTTAGTGACCGGAGACACAGGTGACTGGTGATACCGATGACCAGGGGGCTGGCAGTCAGTGTTCCTGGTGATCAGGATATAAGGGACACTGGTCATAAGGGTCCTGGAAGATAAGACTCCACAACCCCTATGCTGGACACTAGAAAGCTGGGTGATTAGCACTGAGGAGACAGGGATGTTGGGCACCAGAGCCACTGGTGACTACACGGACAGTCAAGAAAATGTGATAGAAGAGGATCCCATGATCAGTGATATTGGTCATCAGGCACCTTGTTGGTTAGAGATGTTGGCGACCGGAGACAAGTGACCAAAGTCATTGTTAAGGAGACACCGGTGAGGAAAATAGTGATTGGTGATATTGGAGACACATGTGAGTGCTCAGATCTATCAACTATTCGACATTGATGGTCATGCTTCTTGGTGAACTAGGACATTGATGACTGAGTGCATTGGGGACCAGCCCAATTGGAAATCAGGAACATGAGTGACAAGAGGCACCAGTGATCACAACATGGTGAATAGAAGTACTGGGAAAACGCAGTGATGGTCAGAGATGTTGGTGCCAAACACACTGAATATAAATATCGATGAATAGAGGTGCTGATCGGTGGTAGGAGATACTCATGACCAGGTATGTTACCAGCGAGCCAAAACAGTCCCTGGAGACCCTGGTGATCACATTTTGTGGCTGTCCGTGACCAGACATGTCACTGTCAGAGGCATTGATAAAACATTGGTTGACTGAGTGTTGGCGACCAGTGTTATAGTAATCAGATGTCTATGGTCACAGGCTCTGGTGATCAGACAGGTCACTGACCATGAATATCAGTCATGGTGGCTATCTCCAATGACCAACCTCGTTGATTGAGGATGACAACAATCAATGACATCAGTGATCAAAAACGCTGGTGATCAGGTTTGTCAATGAACAGGAATATTGAGGACCAGAGAGGACAGAAACAAGAGCTGATCATCTGGGAGGAAGTGGATGGGGACAGGGGCGGAGGCAGTCTTCTACAAGAGCCCCAGGAAAAGGATCAGTATGTAGGCCAAAGGCTGGAGAAACCATGGCCTCCCCTTGTATCCCCAGTATCCACCCAGCCATCAGGACCCCCAATGAGGTGACAATGAGGAAATTCAGATGGGAGCAATGCAGGGGAGGGGCATCAGGGTCTCAAACCCCAGCCAGACAGGAGCCCTTCTCTCCAAATCACTGGGCCGCAGAACCCGTTAGGTCTGACCACTAATCTCCACACACAGGACTCAGCAGCCTGGGAGCCCACAAGATCGGCCAGAGGCATTCACAAAAAGTATTTTATTATTCTTAACAGTATTCACTTCAAAGGAATAGGAGGATAGCATACAATTTTTTTACAGACAATATATAAATGTTGTACATAATTAACAATAACTTAGTTCACTAATCCAAAATAAAACAAGCCAAATAAAACATAAAAACAGAAAATACTGCGGATTCTTTTTCTTATGCGGATACTAGTACAAAATAAGTTACTTCTGGCTGTGGTGCCCCCGCAGCGATCGCCTACCCATATTGCACTTGGTCGACTACATCAGCACAATCCTGGTCCTGGGCCGGCCCTCGCCGGCCGCCGCACCCCACCACCTCCGCATACAGAATCTAAGCTCGGACACGGTTATGTACAGCTGTACCTTGGGAAGGATCCAGACAGCCACAGCAAAGCAGAGCACAACCCAGGCGTCTCCAGGGACCCCGGCAGGGTCGTGGCCTCTCCCTGGACCCACCCCCCAACTCCTGCCTCTGCCACCTGCCAGACCAGCCCCTGGAGGCCAAGAGCAGCCAAAGCCCCTCCCCAGGCCCCCAGCTCCCCGTTTGAGGACTGTGGGATCCAAGAACTTTTCCAAAAATAATTGCAAAGCTACAGCCTTGGTTTGTAGGTTTTATTCCTTTCCACAGCAAGGGCTTCCGTGGCAACGTACAATTGACTGGACCCAAAATGAGTTTAAAAATAAAACAACTAACTCCTCAGCGAGTTAAGCTTATGCAGTCTTTTGTATATATATATATATATTTTTTTTTTCTTTTGTCTCAGAGTGGGAGGGAAGGGGGTCGAGGGGTGAGCAGAAAAAGGATGTTATGTACAGGGGTCCACCTGGCAGAGGAGTCAGGCTGTGGCTCAGGCTCGTTAAGGGGACACGGGTCACACCAGCTTCGGCCTCAGAGCCAGGGGAGCGATCTGGGAGACATTTCCCCTCTCAAGAAAATGTTGTTTCCTTCCTGTGACCCAGCCCTGGCCTGGGAATCTGCGCAGGACCGCCCATGATTGTCTCTGCCCTCCAGGGCCGGGCCGCCAGGGCACACACCGCTCAGCCTCCCCGGGCCGGTGGTGGTCCGGCTGTACTGGCTCAGCCCAACCTGAGCTCCAGCTGTTTCAGAGAGGGAAGCCAGAGGGGATGGTGCGGGCCGAGGGCCCCGCACACCTGCCCCCAGAGCCCTAGCAAGCAGGTGGGCCAAGCGGTACTTGGCGCAAAAAGACCCAGAGAACCTAGGGCAGCTCGGACCTCCAAGTCTCCCAGTCCTTGTTAAAAACAAGAGCAAAATAAATTACTTTTGCCTACTCCCTTCTCCTCCCAAAAACGGTCTTCTTCATTTGTCCCCTGCCTCCCTCCTTTTCTCTTCAAAAAGTTGTCCGTTCTGTTCTCCAAACAATCGTCCGTGATGGAAACCCCACCTGGGCAGGAAGCCGGGCCAAGGCCGCCCCCCAGCCTGGGTGAGGATCTTCACCGTGACCGCCGACGGCCGAGTGGAGCGCCCACAGGAGAGGCAGCTTGGGGCTCCGACTGGGCTGGCGGGAGTGCCATCAGTCTTCAGGGAAGGGCAGGCAGCTAAGGGTTTGCCCCCACCCCACCCTGCCTAGGGGCGCCCAGCCTCGCACCGCAGGCCACCCTCCTCGGCATCCATCCGTCCATTTGTGGGGGGCCGTCCCTAGCCCATGGCGGTCACCATGCTGGATGGGTGGGGGTGGCCAAAGGAGAGACTGGAGGAGGGGTGGATGGGCGTTGGGGTGGGCAAGATGTGTCCCGAGTGGCTGAAGGGTGGGAGGTGGCCCACGGGCGCCATGTGTCCAGCCAGGGCGGCGGCGCTGAAGGGGGAGGCCTTCTCCTGCATGCACTTGGACAGCTCCTCAAAGCACTCTGCACCTTTCTTGTTCTTCTTGGACTTGGTGGACATCTTCCGGTTCCTAGTCTGGATCCCTTCCTTCTTCATGGTCAGCGGCCTGTTCACCTGGAGGCAACCACAAAACCGTCAGGGGGGTCTAGTTCCCTTCCCAGAACAAGACCCCACCCCCCAGCTTCCACGTGGCGCCAAAGGCGGGTCTGGGCTCGGGACCCCACTTGCAAACGCCCTCGGCCCGCCAGGGTCTTCCCATCAGCCTGCCGCCCTTTCAAGAAAGGTCTCGTCTCTTTCACTGTGTGGGACCCGCAGGCCAGGCCAGTTGAGCCCACTAAGTGCCAGCACTGCCCCCCATCGACACAACCGAACTCCACACCCACCTTTTGTTTTAAAAAGACACCACTTCCCCAGACCGCCGCCCGTGGAGGCCACACTTGCAGCCAGCTTGCCCCCTCTTATGGGAAGCCCTTCTGGCACTTGGGGCTTGCCCGCTGGGGGAACAGCCGCCTCCCAAGCCAAGCCACGCTGGAGATTGTGGCTGGGGCCCCGCGCCTGGCAGCACAAAGAGCCGCGGTCCCCGGGGAGGGGCGGGGCGGGCCGGGGAGGGGCGGACTCACATTGTGCAGCTTGTAGTAGAGGCCACAGGCGTTGCAGACAGGGTCCCCGTTGGCGTTTCGGCGCCATAAGGTGGTGGTTGTCGTCTGACAATTTGCACAACAGGTGCCGGCTCTCCTGGCGGCCGACTGGGAGGGGAGGGTGGCGTCAGCAGGCTGGGCTCCCACGCCCCACCTCGACCTCCCTCCCCGACCCTCACCCCAAGCCCCCCCCCCCATCCCTGCCAACTTAGCCCAGGAGCGGGAAATCTCACAGGGGAATCCAAGCATCTCAGAAGCCGTGGAATTTTAGAATTTGAGACCTAAGCCATCGCAGAACTCAGAATAAAGAACTCTCAGAAGCCTGATCTCAGAATCAACAGGGGCGCAAGAGCTGAAGGGAAAAATCAGCCACCGCCCCCAACCCTTAAACTAACTCTGTAAAAGGGGAAACTGAGGCCCTGAGAAGGGCTCTTTTGGTTTAGAAGGCTGGCTCACATGTCCGCATGACTCTCCACGACCCACAGTCCTGGGTGTGACCTCGCCTGAGGCCAGGGCAGGGACGTCAAATGTTTAGGGAGTCTAGAGCGGCACCGTCCAATATGATCGCCACTAGCCAGGTGGGGCTGTTTAAATTCAACTGAACTACGATTTAATAAAATTAGAACTTCGTTCCTTCCTTTGCACAGCCGCATTTCAAGGAACCCACAGCCCCAACCATAGTGGGCAGTGCAGATCCAGAACATTTCCATCACCGCAATGCTGGTCTGTCCCACACCCTGTACCCCAAACCAGAGTGCTCACTGCCCCGCAGCCCCTCAGGGAATGCAGGCCAGAGATGTCTGGGAATAAGTGCCTGGTTTCTGGAAAAGGGAAAAGTGAGAGAAAGTAAGAGAGTCTTCACCCAAGAAAGCAGATCTCCTCTTGTGGGCCCACCGGCCCAGCCCCACAGTGACAGAATGTGTCTGTCCCCCGCAACACTCCCCAGTGAACCGCAGGCAGCAGGGCTGGGGTTGGGGGAATGAGACCAGCAAAGGCCAGGAGGGCCCTAGGCCGGAGCTCCAACCTCCTCGACAGCAACAGCGGAGGGACCTGCCGGTCTGCTGCCTCAGAGGCGGGGAGGGTGAGGGTGAGTAAGCAGCCTGAAGCTGGAATTCTGACTCAGGGGCCAACACCGTATCCTCCACCCCTACCCCCACCCGGGCCCTCACCCCGCCCGCACTCAGGGTGGGGAAAAAAAAGGGGGCCCCCAAAGCGGCCAGCGATTTAAGCCTCATAAATCACTTCGCCCTGAAAAAAATATATTTATTATTCTTAGCATTTTACGCATTATTTGCAGAGCGGAGGGTATTAGAAATTTCAAAACAGCCCAGCGAGAGGCAGGACTGAGCCGAGGAGAGGCTCTAAAACTCGCGGAGTCCGGAAACAGATACGCGAAGTTTCCTTATCTTCAGGCTGCAGATGTCCGGATAGGAAACTCCGGCAGGAGATCCGAAAGGGCATTTTTTTAAATCACTCAAATGAAAATACACAGTATAGGTGACTCCATGGAAAAATAATAAAGGGCAGGTTTTTTTGGTGGTTGGTGTGTGTGTTTTATTTAAATAAGCGTGAGGAGACTGTGTTCTGGGCTACAAGGAAAATTACTTCATGGCCCTATTTTTAAAGAGAGTTAAACAGAGGCCAGGGGACAGGAGTTGGGCCCTTGGACACTCAACTTTGGGGAGCCCTGAGCTCAGTGGGGGGAGGGTACCTGGTGGGCTGCAGAGGGGGAAATCTGGCCTGAAAAAAAATCTGGCCTAAAAGAAGGGTGACCCCCAAGCGATTTAAATGATAAGAGGATTTCAAGAGGCAACGCAGCTGCATTTGAAGGGTTTGGTGGTGTTACTCTTATTTTTTAAATAAATTGCCGGCTCCAGTCCAGGTCGGCGTCAGGGTGCTGCCCACCGGCCCCCTCCCCATCCACCTGCTGCCCCGCGCCTACCAGTCTCCGCTTAGGCTTGATGAGTGGCCGGTTCTGCCCATTCATCTTGTGGTAGAGCCCGCAGGCGTTGCACAGGTAGTGCCCGGTGCCGTCCCGCCGCCAGAGAGGGGTGGCTGTGGCCCCACAGTTGACGCATTCCCGGCCTTCTGAAGGGGGACAGGGAGAGACGCCGGCCCGCTTAACGGATAAGGTCGAGGGGAGAGAGGCAGGGGTGGGCCAGCGCCAATCAGGCAGTCGGCTGCCTCGGCCCGGATGCTTCAGGGGGTGACTTTTAGCTCCAACCCTGGGCAGGAAGAGGGACGCAGAGGAGGCTTCCCCGCCAAAGGAGATGAGTTCAGAAAGTAGCTTTAAGGCCAAGTCTCCCTCTTCAAAACCCTGGCTTGAAGGAAGGGAAATGGGGCTGGAGGGAGGAGTGGGGCCAGGGCCCCAGGGATTCTGGGCGCGACAATGAAAGGGTATTTACAGCAAACTTCGCCGAAGGCTGGGCGGTGGCAGGAGTGGCCCAGCTCGACCCGGCTGGGCCTGGGAGGACTCTGCCTTGCTTTCTAGTTCTGCCTCTTCGGTCTGTCCCTTTCCCCAACTTCGTCTGCCACCTTCCGATTGATTCTCTGCCCCGCGTCCTCTGCCCTCAGCTCCTACCCTCTTTCTGTTCTCGGAGCAAGGGAATTTCCTTCTTTCTCCCCAGCTGCCCTCTTTTCCGCTGAGGCCCTAGAATTCAGTCCCGGACTCGCATACAAGGTGTTGCTCTTTAAAATAAAACACATCCCAAGCCCTTTCGTTTCGAAGTTAAGCAGGCTAAGTGACCTTGGTCTTCTGTCGGTGGTGGTGTTTTTGCTTTTTGGTTTTTGTTGTTGTTTTAAAAGGCCATCTGGAATTCAAATACAACGTAAAACAAACTTGGGAGAAAGGGCTAATTTAAGGCAAGGTAGCTGGCCTGCGAACAGGGGTCCTGGGGTGGGGCTGAGGTGGGTGCCAGGGACGGTGAGGGCAACCAGGCAAGGTAGCTGGACGCCTTACACCGTGTTGCCCGGGAAAAAATTTTCCCTGTTTAGTTTAAACTAAATTGTCGATATACCTGGGCAAGGAAAGGTTCCTGGACTCAGGAGTAAAAGTTTTAAAAATCTTCTTCTTCCTTAGCTTAAAGGGATTGGAAGGGAGGCATTGACAGCGAGAGCCCCGCGCTGGCTCGGTTTCTGCTCTCCAGCCAGGTTCTGGGACGGAACCAGTGTGGCCCCAGCCGTCTCCTCCGGCAAAGGGGCAAAGCTACCTACAGCTTCCTCACCTCACTCTAGCCTTCGGGGAGGGAGAGTGAAGGATGCGCCAGCGGGCAGGGAGCAGGAACGACTCCCGGGAATGCTGCTTTGGGGGAAATCTCCCAAGGAGATTGGGAAACATCGAAATCCCACGATTTGGACTGCCTGACTTGGAGAACCAGATTCCTTAAGGGTCTGGAGCGTACCCACAGCACGCACACACACAAAAACACGCACACACAGCCTCGCTGCTGTCACTTGTTACTGCATTCCCTCACACAAGTCAAGAGGCCGCTCAAATTTTCACTTAAGATTCAGGGAAGGGAAGGGGGAATCCCCGGTCTGGGTTCAGTCTGGCAGTGGCCAACCTTGGAAGGGAGGGTGAGGAGGGGGAAGGGAAATGAACTTTGGGGGCAACCCTGGACAGTTAAGGAAAGGACAAAAGTTTTAGGGCTCCCTCTCCCTCATTCTGGGTTCTCAAACGTCTGTTGGGTTCTATTAGAGAGAGACTTCACCCATCCCCAGATCTGGAAGACTGGCACTGCCCCGCCTCCCATATCATAGCCCCCGACCCCCACAAACAAAGGCACAGACCAACCCCACTCCCATTGGCTCCCTGGCACTTGTCTTTACCTGAACAGGAGCGTGCCTTGCTGCGCTGCTTAGGGGTGAAGCTGGAGGCAGGGCCACCCAGGAAGCCTCCGGGGTGGAAGAGTCCGCTGCTGTAGTCGTGAGCAGCGGCGGGCACGTAGGAGGGGTAGGTGGGGATGGGGTGGTGTGTGGCAGGCTGGGTGCCCATGGCAGCCAGGCCTGGGCGCAGGGGACTGCCGCTTTCCATCTTCATGCTGTCGGTCAGTGACACCTGGTACTTGACCCCATCCTTGTCCTCCCCCCGGGCTGCATTACCCCCTGCGGAAGAGGAGGCTGGGGAGGCAGCCCCGGTGGTGCTGGGGTCAGGGGACACTTCCTTGGGCGGAGTGGGTGGGAAGCCGAAGAGGTGGGAGCCAGAGTGGGCTGCAGTGGGAGTGAGGGAGGCCACAGAGCTCCCGCTGCCTCCCCCACTCCCACCCCCTGCCCCTGGGTACACGGAGAGGGGGCCTCCGGGGCCTCCAGCAGCTGAAGGGTGCAGCGGCGTCTTGGAGAAGGGGCTCACGGTCCAGGGATTGTGGTGGTGCGCTGCAGCCGCGGAGAGGGCTGCTTTACCCCCATCGAGCCAGGGCAACCCCGGGCTGTGCAACAAGTGTGGGCGGCACATCTGGCCTCCGGTCAGGCGGGCTGCGGGAGGAGGGAGAGGGGTCAGGGTGCGCAGAGGCCGAGCCGCGCCATGACAGATACACGGGACCACAACTCACAAAACAGCTAGCAGTAACATTCTTCCCAAAGAAAACCAGAAACATAATACCCCAACCGGTAATAATCAAGAATGTCAGTCCGGAGCTGAAGGACAAGTGGCACCCGAGGAACCCCACCAGACCAGGGCCTCGAGGGAACCCGCACAGGCCAGCTGGGAATTGGGCAAACACCCTGCGGTGCCCAGACCCTCCTCAAGAGGCTGCTGCCCCCACCTTTCCCGCCCCAATTTTTCAGCTGCCTCTATTCCTGCGAAGCTCACATCCGGGAAGCAGGCCGCCGGGCCCTCCTCCCCTCCCGCGCCTGGCGCGCGGCGCACGGCTCCTGGGCTCCCAGTCACCCACTGGCCTTGGGCTCACCGTGCGCGGGGCTGTAGGAGACGCGCGCCCGCGCGTGGGCTGGGTTGGCGTAATAGGGGTTGCCCTGCGAGTCCAGGTGGTTGAAGAAGACGTCCACCTCGTCGGGAGGCAGCAACTGCGCGGGCTCCATGTAGTTGTGCGCCAGGCCCGGATGGTGCGAGTCAGGGTGCTGCGCGTTCAGCACGGCGGGGTGCGCCATCCAGCGCGGCTGCTCCGGCGCCACCTCCATGGCCGGGAGTGGAGGCTCGGGATCTGGGCCGAGGCGGTGGCGGCGTCCCTGCGCGACGGAAGGGGGCGTGAGGGGCGCCGCCACGGCCTGACACCCCCAAAGTCCCGCCACGCGGAGTCCCGCACGCCGCTGCGCCCCAGCAGAGCCCGGCCGAGGCACAGTCCCGGGTGGGAGGAAAGCTCAAAGCTCAAAACGAAAGGAAGGCGGAGGAGATCGGTCAGCCGCTCACATTCACATGGTGACCCCCAGTCCCAGAGCCACACATCCGTGCACACCGGCTCACACACGGGCACAAGCCCCGACACCAGTGACCCCAACAAACACAGAGTCTCACTTTAAATCGGACACTCACACTGACCACCCCCCTCCTTCCCGGGACACAAACGCATAAACACAGACTGAAAGTTGAAGACAGGCGCCTGGGCACCCACTGGGCACATGATCTTAGCGACACGCACATACCTGCACTTGGCGCCGGATACACATACCAGCTTGACGA